ATATTAAATATATATCTCACTATTGATTTTAATTTTATCATCATAATAATCAATCTCACTGTTATAATAACTAATCTCATCTTTATCATTATTTTTAATATTACTAAAATCAATCTTATCATCCATGCAAATGAACCTTTAATGGGATCTACCAAACCAAAAATGCAAATCAAATCCGAAAAATTGCAAATTAATTAAGAGTGAAAATCCATGATTCCATTCTTAGTTTATCCATTCAACTTTAATCACACTAGCTATATCTAAAATCATGACACCTTAAAATTTCTTGAAAAAGAGAGGAAAATTAGTCATTCTAGCTTAAAAGTTTTTTTTTTTTTGACAATTTCTAGCTTTTAATTAGATTATAAGGTTCAAAATTCTCATTAATTATACACATCTCTTGACCATATATAGTTAAAAATTCTTCAAATAGGAGATCCACTAATGGCCTTTCTTAAATCTAAATGACTATTTTTATCCTTGATTAATAAGAATCTTAGACAAACTTTTCAAAAGATATAGCTTTTTAAAAGTTTGTTTTTAAAAACAAATTTTTTTACATATTGGATGGCACCATAGGGCTTGCTTCGAATTCAAGCATCCCCTTTTCTTATCTTCAAATAATTATCGTTAATCTTATTATAAAAATAAATAATAATAATAATAAAATTACGTAGAGCTTGAAAAAAATTCACGTGAATAATTATAAATTATATTTAATAATTTTAAATAAGTGTGAACTGCATGATTTTTGTCAAATTTAACACTAAATTTTCAGTTCTAAAATGATATTTGATGGGATGTCAATAAAAGTTTTAGGCGTGCTTTTTCTTGACGAGGAATGAGTCAATTCTTGAAGCAAGATGGCGTGGCAATTGGGCTTGCACTAACTAGGTGCCCGACCATGTTGATCAACAGTATAGGCATAACAAATTTCTAAAACTATTAAATCATGTGATTGAAATTTAAGTTCTTTTTCTCTAAAGCATGTTAAACAACAAATTTGGATTTTAAAATACAAATCCATATATTTAATCCAAATTTTCGTTCCATCTTGATCTTGGTAATATTTTTTAAAAAAATGGAATATAGCAATTCTTAACTTTTCAAGTTTCTTTCATTGAACCACGAGTGTAGGAAAAGAAGGAAGTTTGTTGATTTCCGTATGTAGCAATCTGTTCTTGTAATTAATTGCAAAGCAAGCAAATTAATCAAGAAATTATCAAAATTTTAAAAAGCATAAAATATAGGGTAAAGATACGAAAAATAATGAAAACGTCAGCTATTTCATTTCATGGTGAATGTAAATTAAAATTAATATAGGATAGAAATTTTTATTGATATTAAATTGCATTAGAAATTGAAGCTTATCTTTAGAAAGTTGAATGTAAATGCAAAAGTATGGATGTGATTTTGTGATTTATGAAAGTGAAGCTGAGATGGGATTGTATAGAAGAGAAAAAATGAAAATGCAAAAGTTCAGATGTGATTTTGTGATGTATGAAAGTGAAGCAGGGATGGGATTGTATAGATGTTTATAATTTATTCTAAAAAGAAAAATTAATTAAGAAAATAAAATTATTTGGACATATGTAAATCATAAATTTGTTTGAAAGTTCATATGTCAATTTGTATGAAAATAGTAAACATCTTCATTATTTTTTAATGATAGATACGATCATTTTCATAAAATAAATATAATTTTTATATTTTTTTATATTGCATTGAAATGTTGCACTTATACTTGATAAAGTACAAAGATCGCCTAACTTTGAAATAATTTATCTCCCCAAGCAACACTATAAACAGAAAAACGTGAAGTAAAAATAGTCTAAGAAAGTCTAATCCACATATCATTTCCAAGCTTTCTCCATCAATTTCGGCCAAAAAGTTTATATGATTCATTGGCCACATTATCATCAATAATGGTAGGCAAATTTTGTTTCATATTGCGATTAAAAGGAAACTTACTTTTGCAATCAAATTCATTTTATTATTAGCAATTATTATCATAAAATTTTATCTTATTTAATATTCCTTTGAAATTAATACATACGTACATACATATATATGGACTTCGCCCACAACCACAACAATCTATGGACTGTTTCAGTTAACTATCCCTCTCACACGCTCTTAGCCAATAGGCTTGGCTTGCCTCCTTTTGCCTTATAATTTGTTGGCACCCATGCAATCAAAAGAATCTCCTCTTTTTCTATAACTCACCCAAAAATCAACCAAGATTTAGGTTCTCTTTCTTGGCAAATCAAATGGAATTCTACTAGGTGGGATATAAGAAAATTTACAGAAATTCTACCCTTGTTAAAGTTGTTGAATTGAATTACTTTTTATTTCTTGTTCCATAAACTCCATTGATTTCTTTTACATTTGTACTTTTAAATTTCAAACGAAGGTTCTTTACCTACAAAAAAAAAAAAAAAAGACTATAATAGTATCAAATAAATAGAATTAGAAGTTCTACTTTTTAGTATTTGTCAATTATCTATAGGTACATAATTGTTTTCTAGCGTGAAATTTATGAATATGATTGAGAAATAACGTATGATGAAATTAAAAGTTTCGTGATAAGTCTTATATTTTATGATTTTTAGTATTGTCTCTGTTAAATTATTTTGCAGACCGAAATTTTGGAACAATTTAAAAATTAATGTCATAGGCCAACCAGTCACGCTATCATATCCATCCATGACCCATATTTTCCAAGAATACGTCCAACAAGTTTAAAAACCCACTCAGAAAAGCCTAAATTGGCTATTTTCACATTCTCTATCCAACATTTTCCCCAAGAGTAATGTCTCTCCTTCCTTCACTCTTTCTCCTACTAGTGACAATGGCCGTTGCAGACCCTCTCCGGCCAGGTTTTTACTCTGAAACATGTCCAGCAGCGGAATTCATAGTCAGAAATGTGATGAGGAAGGCCATGATTAGGGAACCAAGAAGTGTTGCCTCAGTCATGCGCTTTCAATTTCATGATTGCTTAGTTAATGTAAAAATTTTTACAAAGCAGAAACCTCGTATACTTTCCATGCCTACCTGTTCTTGTTACTTTGTACATGATTATGTTTACCACTTTTACAGGGCTGTGATGCTTCCTTGCTGCTAGATGATACACCAAACATGCTTGGGGAAAAACTAGCTCTTTCCAATATAAATTCGCTAAGATCTTTCGAAGTTATCGATGAGGTTAAGAAAGCCTTGGAGAAGGCCTGTCCAGGAATAGTTTCTTGTGCAGATATCATAATCATGGCTGCCAGAGATGCTGTTGCTCTGGTAACTATTATTAGCTTTCTCCTGTTAGCTTAAAAAACAAGCTATATTCACATTTTGCTATATGGTAGCAACGTAGCAAAATTGAGATACTTGGTTGCTGAGTTGTTTTTTTGCCAGAAATTCAGCACGATGGACGCCTTTTGTCCAAACTTTGTCAACTAGGGCCCTTTATAACAGAATTTTTGTCTAAATTATTTTATTCTTTATTCCATCCAAGCTTCTAAAAAGAACATTTCTCCCCGTAATAACGTTCAAAAAGTGCACAGATTACTGATCCTATAAAATGAAAATATTATAGTAATGAAGTAATTAATATTGCAACTGTTTAGTACAATTTTTTTTTTTAGGTTGTAGCCTAAGGATCAACGATGTCATTTTTAAAGATGATTGCATGAATAATTGTGTTCTTATAAGTCCATATTTTGTTTATCATTGTGTTTTCTCTTCTTAATCCTTTGTTTTTTTTTTTTCTTTTGTTATCAAGTAATTAATTCTAGTTCTAGGCAGAGTAAAACCGTTGAGGTTTTGGGCAGCAGATATTATTAATTGTTTTGTTTTAGCTAACTTTGTTTAAAAAGAAATTGAGGATTTGCTTTACAATGGAGTTTGCGTTTTTGTGTAATTTACCAAAAAGTGATGTTGATTCTTATAATGTTTTAATCCAGACAGGAGGACCCGATTGGGCAGTGAGGCTAGGAAGAAAAGATAGCTTAACAGCCAGTCAAGAAGACTCGAACAATATAATGCCAAGCCCAAGAGCAAATGCAAGTTTTCTCATTAATCTCTTCAGCCGATTCAATCTATCTGTCAAGGATCTTGTAGCCCTTTCTGGGTCGCACTCGATTGGGAAAGCAAGGTGCTTCTCAATCATGTTCAGGCTATACAACCAGTCTGGCTCAGGCAAGCCTGACCCTGCCATTGAACCAAGGTTCAGAGAAAAGCTAGACAAGCTTTGTCCACGTGGTGGAGATGAAAATGTAACCGGAAATCTTGATGCAACACCTAGATTGTTTGATAACCAATATTTCAAGGATTTGGTTGGAGGGAGAGGATTTTGAATTCGGATCAAACCCTTTTCACCTTCCCTCAGACTAGAAAATATGTAAAGCTTTTTAGCAATGACCAAAACGAATTTTTCAATGCCTTCGTTGAGGGAATGTTGAAGATGGGTGACTTGCAGTCCGGGCAGCCTGGTGAGGTGAGATCCAACTGCAGGGTGGTCAATTGCCGTAAGAACCAACTGCAGAGTGGTCAATAGCCGGCCTGTGGATGTATTACTGGAATCTTGAAGGAAGAAATTTTATTGTATTTAAGGCTATTAATAGAATAGAAAAAGTTATGAGAATTGAGAATAAGGCTAAGAAATCATATACTCAATGTTATCATAACAAAGATGCCTCTGAATGGAATCTGACACAAGCAAAGAGAATGAATTAGTGAAATATGCAGTTATCAAAGACCTTTTTCTTCGGACTTTTTTTTTTTTTGGCAGGGGCGCTATAAAGGCCAATTTTTCTGCCATGACTGCCAAAACTGAAGTCAAGAATTTTCCATTTTCCGAATAGCGACATAGAAGCGTGAGAACAAAATTGTAAACGGACTAAAACAATATGCGCAAGGTGCCAATTCGATTCATCTCTTTGTTATTTCCCGTTGAGACGTGCATTCAAAAAGATTTCATCTGTCAAACGGTAAATAAAAAGAGACCATTGGAACTTGGAAGCTCCATGAAAATTTCATAATGTCGTGCAAACCCACATAATGTCACAAAAATTTAAAGCATACTGCTCATGTGATACTCCAAAAAACATTGTTGACTTCTGAAAATTGAATAATCAAAATTACCCCAACCAATAATAAAATTTGAGAATCAGCAATGCACAACTGACCAAAAGTACAAAGCCTTGTGGCACAATTAAGCTGCAATGGATGGCTTCGAGGCAGCAGAGAGCCTGGATCTCTTCTTTGCCAAGCTCTCACTCCTGCGCTCACGCTGCTCCTTCAATCTCTGGGCAAGGAGCTTCTGGTACTCAGCAGCATCAGCCTTGGCCTTTGCAACTCTCTTCTTCTTCTCTGCAATTCTGGCGCGCTTCCTCTGCAAGGTCAAAGGAGTCACCAGCCTCTGAATTTTGGGAGCCTTGCTGACTTTCTTACCTGCATTCCAAGATAGTGACTTTGATTTTCAAATCAGAGGCAGCTGCTATCATTATATATAGGGGCTTTTTTTTTTCAGAACTAAAATCACAGATAAAAAATTCCTTCCCCTGACGACTTAATGAAGCAAAAATAAATATTTCATACTCACCAGATTTGGTAGTAAAGGTTCGGCGATAAGTATTAACATACTTCCGAACATCATCTTCCTTAGAGAGGTTGAACAACTTCCGGATTTTTGACGCTCTCTTAGGACCCCTCATTCTTGGCTTCTCAGTGTCAGTCAATCCAGGAAGATCATTTTCACCCTTCTTCACAATAACCAAGTTCAGAACTGAAAGATCTTGACTAACTATGCATCCACGAACTGACTTCCTCCTACGCTCTCCATTTCTCCTACCATACCCACGGAAGCAGGGAGTACCTGTTCAAAGGAAAAAAGTCATTCATTGATTTAAAAATGCATACAAGAAAAACATTTCCAAGCAATAAAACAAAAGGAAGAAATTTGCAGAATCCACAGACCTCTGTGAAGCAAAAGACGAACACGCCCAGGAGTGAGAACTCCTTGCTTCATTGGAAAACCTTGCTTGTCACAACCTCCCATGATCTTGAATACATAGCCCTTAAACTCCTGTTAAATGATAATAAGGGAAGAGCAAATTGCACTTAAGAAGGCCAGATGCACCATTGAAATTAATTTGAGACAAATACAGAAGCTAGAAGAAGCTGGGAAACATACCTCACCCAGGGCATCACCACTAACTTCTTGTGAGATCCTCTTGTCAAAAAAGGCTCGGCTGCAATTTAAAAGTTCAATGCAAGAAATTTTTCTTCTTAAGAAACAACTACAACTTGCATTGCAAAAAGGGAATAAATAAATGCTTGTGAATACAATCACAGCCACACCAAGATGTTAACATGTATAAGCGCATTGTGCACAAGAAATAACTATGATAAAAAGATACCGTACATTTTAATTTCCTTAATCTTTGCATTAGGTAAGAAAAGAAGGAATTTTGTGAAGAAAACATCATTACACACATAACAACTAGAGCCAAAAGAAACTCCTATTTAACAAAATAATCAGCATAAAGTTTAACAGATGTGCAATCATCCTTTCTTTAACTTGCTTGTCAATGTTCTTTCAATAACAACTACTACAACCAGTAGGCTAATCCACCATTATATTCTAAGTCCTAACTTCATCATATAAATGGAAAAGAAAAGATTTAAGAATCAAATCCATTAGCTCACGTTTGTTTTTGCTAGATTTAGGAAAAATAAAAAACAATTCCATTTCGCATACCAAAGACAAAACTATCAATGAAGTTTCAACAATATAAGAGACAGGCAACATTCATCACAATTGTTCTAATCTTTAGCAAAGTCTAAATCTGCTACTCAAAACCAAACCTTCGGATAAAAGGGATAAACCATAAAGAATTGATTTTTTTTTTGCCAATGCTGCATAAAGTCTATGCCTCATATCCCATTCATCCAAATTTCATTAGCAGATATTATACATTTTAATTTGGTTCCGTCTTTTTTTTTTTTGTTACACATTCTCTAAGTAGTCTAAAAAATTCAATCTCACCCAATATGATAAACCTGAACAAATAATTTCCCGAATATAGATAGACAAAATAACAACAAAGAAGTCAAATTTTCATATCGGTCTTTTCATTGGTTATAAGAAGAAGCAGTCAGGCATTGGCTTTAACACTAATATTGAAATTGAAAGCAATAGAATAAACTCAAACCCGGTTATTGAAAACAAATAAAAAAAGAAAAGAGAAAGGAAAGTACAGTTTCTGGTCATCGTCAATTTCCAGCTTCTTCTGGCAACCAGTGGTTGGATTTGCAATATTGAACTGAAACAAAAAAAAAAAAATCAATCAAGAGAATAAACAAAACCCAAAAAGAATTGAAATATCTCTTATCTTATAAAAGGAGAAAAAACCTTCATTTTTCTCTGATCGGTCTTTCCGCTACGGCCCTGGGGGAGAAATGCCGCCGCTGCTGCTGCTGCTGCTCTCTTGCAGGCTGAAGGTTCCCTCGCTAAGGACGGTTAGGGTTTTTGTATGGGTTTATATATAAGAGGGGAATAATTAGCTGTTTTTAAAGAAGACTAAAACGCTGTCTGAGTCAAAATGTATTCATACACGTGGATTTTTGTGATGTCTAGTTTTTGTAGTTTGGGCTTTCGGTTAATCTATCAAATGGGCTTGTTTGGACCAAACACACACACCCTCATGGGTCTTAATTTATTAGCTACATAACGATTCACTACCATGTTGTAAGATCAATCTTTTTTTTTTTTACTGAAATAGTATTCAATAAAAATTTTTTGTTAAAAGTACTCCAAATTTTTATTTTTTTTTTTAAAAATCACAGATAAAAAAATTTATAAGGACTAAGATTTGAATTTTGATATATTAAATATTACTTACTAAAAATATTTATATAAATCAACTTAGCTCACAATTCATTCAAATTCTTTATTGAGAAATGACCAAAATGGCAATAAAATTTTTTATAATTATCTAAATGTTTAGGACACGTACAAGTAAAGAGAATATTAGGGTTGGTTGAGTTTTAAACTATGTTAAGATGACGCTAATATTATTACTTTCTTTTTGTGGTAATTTTCAACATTGATTTACTTGATTTTCAACGTATAATTTTTCCCTTACGAAGCTAAAACTTTTTTTTTTTGTCATCCTTTCTCTTTTGTTTTATAAGTGTCACTGTCATACATGTTATTTTTCCTTTGATACCGTTGACGTGAAAATTATCATACCTACTAATCATCAACGTCCACGAAACAACATTCCTACGCGGTATCTCATCAAACAAAGCTCTCACCTTCTCAACTCTCCTATCTTCATATGCCCATGCAATCATCGCCGTATAAGATATCACATCATTTCTGGCCATTTTTTCGAAAAGCCAGCCTCGTTTACCCTCTCCCATCTCACAAGCCCAGATATCGTCGCATTGTACGACGCTGTATTTTTCTCAGGCATTGCTTGAAAATACTCCAGAGCTTCATCCACGCAGCCATTTTCGACACAAAACGGCGATCATGGAGTTCCAGGACTAGGAGACTATATTTCTTTTCAGGAATTAAATCACAAAGTCTGTTGGATTATTGGATACACCCATTTTCCAGTAGCCGGTAATGATAGAGTTCAACGAGACGACATCGTTGTTTGGCATATTAACGAACAGTTGGCGGGCAGCTTTAATGTTATAGGCCCGTGACGGTTCCCGGTTCGTGACGTTGTATTTATGGACATCTTGAGTAGAGAAGAGCTGCTCAGCTGGAATTAAAAGGAAAAGGCGGGTGAAACTGAAATGACGGTTGAAAGGGAAAGGAAATTGAAATATGGGTAAAGGAAGGTAGAGTTGATGGGGTCGGTAGACCAATCGGAGGGAAAAGCGAAGAAAAAGCATGAGAGAAAACAAAAAAGACGACAAATTGGAATCATTGTTGGTTAAGTAGGGTTTGGCGTGAGGCTTTTTTCTTTTTTTTTTGGTCTTTTCAGTTTGTGCAAGAAAGTGGGGACACTGGTCTGGGATTGTCTGTTTCCTTGTTTTGTCCTAACTCTTGTAAGGATAAAAGTCTAAAGCAATCTACCATGTCAGCCGTTTCTTCGCATTCACAATCTCCATTCAACGTACGCTCAGAATGCAGTTTTCTTTTCCCTTTATAAAATCTTTTTGCCTTTTCTCCATGTTTTTTGTCGAATTAAAAAATCGTCATTATCATCACGATGCAATGCATTTTTTTTTCCTTTATTATAGTTTTTCCTCGAATCATCTATCATATAATAGATCGGTTTTTTCTTTATGCTACTAAACGACTGCATATTTTTTAGTGGTATAACAGCAGCAACAAAGTTAACTAATATGAAAATTCCATCATACAATAATTAGTAAAAATAACTCTTCAATTGAGCTATATATTATAAGGTCATATATATGATACATATAATAATATATAAAATAATATAATAATTATTTTATATTATATTTAATTTATATCTAATTCAAAATAACAAAGTTTAAAAAAAAATTATTGTCTCTTAATATAAATTGATTCAAAAAATTATTCTTAATCTATAAAAATAAATTTATATATTTTATTATATCTTCAAAAATTATATTAATAATTTAAATTATATAAAATTTTTAAAAAATAATTTTAATCAATAAATAAATTATATTATTTAATAAAAATATTAAATAATATGATATTATTTAATTTAATTTAATTTATAATATCACCTTATATTCTAAAGGATAAAAACACCGCCGATTTAGTTTGCACCATTTTCCTCCAAAAGGGATCAAGAAATAGATCTAAAAACTACCGGGCACCTTTTTAAACAGTAGGGAACAATCAATTAATCTAAGAAATAATAAACATGTCCTGAATTCTCCTGGGCATGAAGTTCTGTGACAGGGAACATTCATAGTTCATACAATTTTTCGACATGACAGGTTCTTAGTTCATACGAGTGTCCACCCATCATCCATGTGCACACATTTGTGCTGATCGTAGACTAGCCTTCGGTCAAAAACTCATGGCCGTCTCCCACTTCTCAAGGGAATTCAAGAGTGATCCCGCAGAAATAAAATCCGAATAGTTTTTGGGACACTTGACCACCTAATTCCTATCAATTTTCAAACGTCCATATATACACGTACATATTCAAAAGCAGATCCACAGGGTAGCAATCTACCAAAAATTAGATATAAAAGAACCAAATTAGCATTCGTCACCAGAAGAAAACCGCTTACAACAATCCATAGTGAAGCCTTTATTATCGTTTTCGTTCATCCACCATCCATAAAACAACCAATTTAAGAACAAATATAACTAAACCAGATTAGGTTGACAAATTACAGATTGATGTTCGAAGCCACTACAGTAGGTGGCAGAGCATAACACAAACATTTAAATAGAATATACCCAGACTAGAGAAGTTATCCATTAACTATCAGACACTACCACAACCATAACCCCCCTAATTCATCGTTAAATCACATTAATCCTACCACTATCATCAACCTATCCTTTTATCTACCTAACAAAAAAAAAGAAAAAGAAAAAACACAACATTCCCTAAAAACCAACAAGAATTTCTTCATTATAAGTGAGATCTTCACACTTGACACTTAAGCACGCTCACCCCTGATCCTACGAGCCAGCTGGATGTCCTTGGGCATGATTGTTACACGCTTGGCGTGGATGGCACACAAATTGGTGTCTTCGAAAAGACCAACAAGGTATGCCTCTGCAGCTTCCTGGAGAGCCAAAACTGCATGGCTCTGGAAACGCAAATCAGTCTGCAAACAAATCCCCAGAAAACACAGGCAATCAACCATCAAGCAAATAAATATCAATTGTCAAACGAGACAATAAAAAATAAACCCTTTCTGAACCTTGAAGTCCTGGGCAATTTCACGGACAAGCCTCTGGAAGGGCAATTTCCTGATAAGAAGCTCAGTACTCTTCTGGTACTTACGAATTTCACTGCACAAATAAAATATATAAAGTCAATAACCCATAATGAAACAACTAACAATACAACACGGATTTATTAGAATGTAAATTGACTAACCGAAGGGCAACAGTTCCAGGACGGTAACGGTGGGGCTTCTTCACGCCACCGGTGGTCGGGGCAGACTTACGGGCAGCCTGATAGGCAACAGAGACAGATCAGAAGCTAATAACGACACAAGAACCCTAGAAATGGAGTAAAATCATTATGCTTAAAAAGGAACAAATAAAGTAACCTTGGTAGCGAGTTGCTTCCTAGGAGCCTTTCCTCCAGTTGACTTACGAGCAGTTTGCTTGGTACGGGCCATCTCTGTAAAGAAATGAAATAAATTCAAACGATTGAATGATTTTTCTATCTACATTTTCTGATCAACCAATCACAAAGGAGAATAGCCAGATCTCGACTAATTATTCGAGCCAATTACCAAATAAACCTTCATTTTCCAAGAAACAAGTTCAAAACGCTAAAGTCATCAAAATCAAAATTAAGACAGCGAAGAATCGAATTCAAAACCCAAAAAGTCGTAACAATTCAACAATCCCCAAAAAACCCCAATTTCAAATTCAAACAAATTCTAATCGAACCCTAAATCACCTTCCCTATATCCTCAATCAACTAACATTAAATCAAAAGCATGAAGCAAACAGAAAAATTTTAACCAAATTCATGAAACCCCTAAATCAAAAAAATAAAAAAATCAGGGAAGGTAACGAACCTTAAATTTGTTGAAGATGCCTTTCTCTGTTTACCGCTTGAACTCGTCAAAGGATACAAAATTAAAAGTTTAAATAGAACCGCGGTTAAGAGGTATTTATAGAAGGTGCGGATTGGCTAAGTAAACTGGATTGGACGGATACGATTTACTATCGGCGTGTTTCTTCCGTACGAAATCTGACGGTGAAAACTGTTACAAGTTGTGTTTTCTCGGCCAAAATGGACGGTTTCGATTAGCTTATAGGGTGAAGACGCGGATCGTCATGCTTGAATGGCCTGTTCTTATTGGTTGACACGAAACGCATTTTTCGCTCTAATGTTGGGGTTTGGAATGTCAACCCGGCATTAATTGGCCAGATCTTTCGTTTCGGGTCATTTTTGCTATTTATTTTTATATTTAAAAAATAAATATTAAAAATTAACTTTTTTAAAATAAATATTACAAAAAATAGACTTACTGTAATAAAAGTTACTATCAATTTTTAAGTAGATTTAATATTGTTTAGGTTAATTCATTTATTAAAAAAATATTTACACATATTATTGCATCCATTTGAGTCTTTTAAATTATTATTCACACCGATTAAATTTTTATTTAAATAAAAAATTAAAATAATTAAATTTTTTGTTAACTTGGACAAAAATTCATGTGATATTGACAGTGTGAATTTAACTTTACCATGAGGAATTATCATATATATTTAAGTTTAATCATGTATATCTTTGATTAAAAATTAAATTTGAATTTTATATTCACTAAATATACAAAAAAAAAAAAAAACTCAAACTTTTCTACTTTTTTTTTTCTTTTGTGATATGTGATTTATTATTCACTTATCAAAACTATAGTGGGAGTGCGCTGAAAATGTGTAGAAAGTAATTGATGATTTTATCCATTATATTTTATTTGATTGTTTAGCATTTTATTGTTTTTTATCTATATTTTGTCTCCTCAAATTATCAAGACTAAAATATTAAAAAACATATGAACTATTTCACTTTTTTTAAAATAATTTCTTATACTTTTACCATATTCAAATAAATTTTTATTTTTTATTTGTATTATTATTTTAAACAAAATTAATTTGTGTTAAATGTTTATTTAAATATAAATTAAAGTTTAAAAATTTATTTAAACGTAATTTAAAATTTTCAATTTTTCTTTGAATTCAAAATAAATATTAAAATTTTATTTAAATACAATAAAAATATAAAACTTAATTTAAATAAAGTAATAACATTCAAAATTTTATTTTGTTATTCTAGCCGAGTATCGATAACTTATGCGTTATGGTTATATGTCCCACAGAAGAATAAGGATGGTCTCACCGAAACAGATCATGAAATTATTTAGATTTGATTTGATTGATTGTGAAGACAATGCTAAGTCCAACTACATAAAAAAAAAAAAGCATTATAATTACATGTATTTATAGGATTCCTCAATTACCTATATTCAATTTACAAGCTAACTCTTCATGAACTTTTCGTTTTTTTAAGAATATATGTAAATCAAGCTGATCAAAGGGGTAAGAAAAAAATGAATCCCACCAGCCTACCTCATTTTTCTTTTTCAAAGTTACCCAAAAAAAAGGAAAAGAAAACTAATCAGAAAAGGCTCTGACATGCATGACAGCGATAACCTTTACATCAATGGGCTCCGAAAGACTCTACCCAGCTATGTTCACACACCTTGCAAGTTATCAAGCACCCATCTTCAGTGTAGCAAACCGCCATAAAGTTTGACACAGTTCTATATAAGAAGCTGAAGCAAGCATGCTCGATCAAATACCCTCGACAATGCTGGCTTGAGCCCCACACAGCAATCGTATACCTTTTGAGTGCCCAGAAAAGCCAACTGGTGGTGACATTCCAGGAGCTACTGTAACATTAAATCTATATTGAATGAAACTTCCTACCGGAAAGCCATAATGTTATATTACAGACTTGATTGACTATGGTCCTATTTTTGTGTTTTCAAAGTGAAAGCAGTCGGCAACTTTCAGGTGATCTGCAAGCTGGCTGACAGAAGACTGCACAACATCAGACTTTGGAGAGAGAGAATTAGGGAGTTGTGGTAGGCATAGAGGAAGACATTGATCACTCCCTTCTGGAGGGCAGAAGGCAGAGAGCACAGCTCGACAGAATACGAATCTGGATAAAAGTTACAAGATATAGTCATTCCATTTCTTCAACTAAGCAACCAAGTCGGACAAGACAAGAAGATGATGGCACACCAATTTATTCAAAAAGGCACCTATCCCTAGCAGCATCTCTCCACCACCTCCACTCAACAGTAATGAGTAAAAACAACCCAAACAAGGGTCAACAAGTGTAATGGGGTGTTATAAGAGAAAGGGACAATGATACAAATGCCTACTTAACTACAGTAAAATGTTTAATGCGGTACCTAATGTAATACCTTAAATATAAATCTATTAACTAATTTGGTACTTAAAGTGAGGTTTGTCCACCAAGTGTCATCACTTGAGCTATCCACATTAGCTTGAGTAATATATTAGTTAACAAATTCATAGTTCAAGTAAAATATCATAGATTTTTAAAGTTCAAGTACCATATTGAATATTTCACTATAGTTCAAAGACCATTTATGACATTAACCCTAAGAGAAAAAGCAAAACTATTTCATTCAGTCATATGATATGATTAAGTAGATCTTTTGTCCCCGCATGCTTCCATTAAACCATATGAAACAAAATTGATTTAATAATATTTGTGCACACAAAAGCTACTGAGATAAAGATGAAAGGAAGATAAAATACCTAACAATAAGCCGCCTTAAAAAAGGATCAGATAAAACTTGTGCCCAAACCAGATCTAGGCCAGGTGATTTGCAGAGAATTACTTCCCACTTGGAGAAAGCAGTGGAAAGTACGTTTTCAGCACTATTTAGAACTTCCTAAAAATAAAAGAGTAGAAGCAAGTGAAAGTAATAAGACCAACTGGCACAGAAAGTATGCACCATAAAAAATTAAAAAAAAAACCCTCAAAAATATTTTGAAATCAACTTACCATATCACTATCAGACAGGGAGAAGCCAACCATTTGGCAGAATGCTTGTAGAGGAGCAGTCAAGAAAAAGGTAAATTGACTTCCATTCTGAGCAATATCAGCACTAGATGGGTCCTTGAACATTGGTCTCACTGGTGAAAGCAGTAAGGCAGCTTTCTCTCCCCTCTCTGCACCATGCAAGACCTGAAATTCACAGTAATTTATACTGTAAGCAACTACATTGATAAATAAGAATTCAGATGAAAGCATGATGAGATACTGCAAAGTCTCCCATCACAAATAGTACAAACACACAGTTAACTGCAAGTTTAATGAAGCTATTTGCATCTTAGAAGACCCCACACCTCTTCCGAAAACAGTAAAAGAACCTAACACCCAGCACTAAACAAACATGTTACCAGTGGTTTAATTCTCAGAGGAGGCTGTCATAAATTTTAATTAATTATTTATTTTTTATTTTTTTGCATCTCAGTTTGATTATTGAAAGAGTATTTTAGATGTAAGTTCACCTCTTACTTCGGAAAGATACATGAAAACTTGGAACCAAGTAGCAGAATTAAATGAAGCCTATCCATTGACATTTAATACAAAGGGTAAAATTCATCTCTTCTGTTTAGTTACCAACTTACTATCCATCTTTTTCATCTCCGAAAGGCAGTGCAACATAAAGGACATTATTTGCAGTTTGCAGCAAGAACAATCTACCTCGTGATCACAGACCAGTCTAGAGGTTTTAAATATCCTCTCAAACCTTCAAATTGTTTTTTCCCTCTTTTTAATCACTCAGCATAAAATCCATTCCTTCTGTTAAGTTGACTATCCATCATTTTCATCCACAAAAAGCATTTCAATCATTTAACTTCATTTGCAAGTTGTAGTAGAGCAATCTACTTCATAATTATCACTTGTCAATCTGGAGATTTTATATATCCTCTCAAAATCTTCACATTGTTTTTTCATCTTTTTAATTCAACTCCATATCACGAATGCCATAGGTAATCATAGCAGATATAGGAAACAGAAGAGGAAAATAAGTGACATGAAGTTGTAAACTTTCTAAAGTTAAAGAATATGAACAAAATTCTTCCAAATACCCCACCAAAGAATACTATAACATGTCACCTTTTGCATATGGCAGCAAAATCTAGCCCAAACTGCATTTATATAGAGTAAATATACATATTCTGACAAGGCATACACAAGTTATGACAAACCTGCCTTGAATGCATGGCTGTTATCACTATCGATGATCAAGAAAATAGGTCGTCGGGTGAAAGGAATTATATCACCAGGATAGAGGTTACTTGAACCTGCAAATCCCAGAGAATCATACTTAAGAATAACTGGAACACACTAATAAAACTAATATTACTCATAAATTCAGGAGTTTCGGTTCACAAAACCCTCAGAATAAAAGTTAAAGATAGCATATGGTATTAAATACGGCTATAGCTACCTACCACCATTCGATTTAGGACCTAACCACAGATAATCATCATAGTAGTCATTAGACCCTTTCTTGCCATTAACGTGGGATTCAGGTGCAGAGCTATTATGTTCTATGGAATTGTGAGAAGCAAGCTTGTTTTTTGTTGTTCGCCTAGATCCTACTGAAGTTTCTAACTGAGAGGCATTAATATGACCAGGCTTCCCTGCGTGTTCAACACAGTGTCAACAACTTAGGAAGAAAAAACACATTCAAATTATTTGGAAAAAAAATCTTTCTTCTCAGATGGTAATTACATGGAAGCAAAATTACCTGAGGCTGATAGATAGACTAGCATAACGCTCTCAGGAGGGAGCTCCTCAATAATTGTTGCCATAACCTGCCCAACATCATTTGTTAAACATCAGCTGTGATGATTATATCCATACAAAAGATTATGTAAAAATACATATAAAGCACAAAAGAGAAGATATACAATTTTAGAAAGCTAGCAACCAATTGTTAATGACCAGATCCATATAACTTGGATAAAGTTCATTGAATTACAGATTATTAATTATTGGTTTATGTAGATATTATGCGTACCCTACAATCTAACAGTATCAATGTCCAACATAATAATATATTAAATAAAGCTGGCTTACACAGACAACAAATTAAAATAAAATAACATATGCCATTACAACTGAGGCGCATACTATTAAATTAATATTAGGCATCAAATTCCTAAGGAACATGCATACTATTTTTCTTTTCATTTTGTTTTGTTTCTGTTTGAAAACAAATATGATAGCCATAAGAAGATTATGTCGTTGATAGCCTAAAAATGCAAATAGGTAAGCCACCTAAAATAATCTAAAAAAAGCAGTACTAGCATAATTGCCTCCTAATAACAGAAAAATTTTACAGTAGCAAGTTCAATAAACGGGGCTTTATTAACTCACTGCTATCAAATGTGTTACAGACGGTCGATAGAGGATAGCTTTCCTAGGATTTGGAGGTAAAGTTGGATCTGTCATGTCTGCAGCCAAATTCATATCTATTACTCCAGAAGCTCCAGAATAATCAACTGCAACACCATTCTCCTTAGGTTCAGCTGGATGGTTTTGGTAAAATGATCCACTAGGCTCCCATTCCAAACATTGCAGCATTCTGTATGCATCCAAAGTAAGTTCTGCAAATTTTACCTGTAATTGGAAACAGAATAACAGATTACAAAAACCTCACTTTGCAGGTTACAGCTAACCTTGAACAATCACAAAATCAATGATCAGACCAATAAAAATAGCTTTCACCTCATTCCGATGATAACTCATCAGGATTGCATCTCGAAACTTTAGAACCTTCTTTGCATGGAATCGAGCCATATAGGCAACAGAATTTGGATGACAGTCAAGCATAGCACAGTACCGAAATGGCCTAGCACTTGTAATTGTAAAAGTTGTATCAACATTCATAAAGCGGACAATTTCTTGCACTATTAGCTTCCATTCTTTAAAGTTTGTTCCCTGAAAAACAAAAAATCATATGCCTCCATCAGTAGCTGCTAACATTTTGTATAAGGGTAATAAGCCCACAAGAGTAAATATATGTCCATCTAAAATCTAAACTGTCACTGTAAAATACTTCATCCTCCTCTAATGCACAGCATAGTACTCAACAACAATGGAAAGGAAGGTAATAACACATTTACATTCATCAATTTAAACAAATATATTCTGAAAATTTTTCACTTCAAATACTTTGATTACCTATTCTATAAGGCTTTGCTTGGCAGAGAGGATGGAATGGGGTAAGGATGGACAATTTGTTAATCTAATGGTGAAGCTACAAAATAGGAAGGTGGTTATGAATTTTAACCATTGGATTAAGAAGTTTCCCATCCTTACCACTTTCCATCCTTCCTACCAAGCAAAGAATAAGTTATTTTTCTTCCAATGGCAAAAGTGCATAAGAAAAATCCAACTGAGCCTAAGAAATGCAAAATCTTTCAATTCTTATACGAAAATGAAAAAATAAGGGTTCACTTACTCAAAATTTAGACTTTTTATGAAAATTTAAGGTATATTTCTTCAGTAAAGCTACCTAAATTCTATTTTTGCATATATTTGGAATAAAAAAAGATTGAGTTCTATTATTTGAAAATATTTATTGGCATAAACAATAATCCTTCCCAGGTTCCTCAATCCTCATACTGTCATAAGCCATTGATAAAAAAAATTAACAATTTTTTTTAAATTCCCCTTAGCAGCCAAAGAAAGCATATCAAAACTGAAAAGGCACCATATCCAACAATAGTAAAAACAAACAAATAAAAATAAATAAAAATTCAGCTTGAATTGCACAATAAAATAAACTTGGAACCTAAGAAGGCTTAGAAAGACATGTAAGGTGAGAGTTCCATTCTACCATCCCCAATTCCCATCCAGTGGAAAAAAAAATGTAAATTTTATTTTTACCTGGAAATTAGCTTTGCAATCGTCGACAAGAGCTCTAAGCTTTTCAAGGACAATTTTCACCATCTGGGTCCGGTTCAAAATCAACGAAACCAGTAAAAACCGGGCGTAAAATCTCAACTCCTTAAACCGGACGCCAAGATCCTTCACTTTACACCCTTCAAAATACCTCCTCTTCAAAATTGCTTCATAGAAAACGTACGCTTCGACCAGAAACCTAGCCTCGCTGGTCCTCATGTACTGGCCGAAATACAGCTGGCCGATCCGACTGGCGATCTCGCCTATCTCCCACCGGTTCAGACCGGATTTGACAAGCTCAGTTCGGTGCTCTTGCTGGTGCTTCCATAACCGCATGTACGCTTTGAACACTTTCTGGAAGTAGTGTTGGCCTTGTGCTCGTCCGTATGACGGGAAGTCCCGAACTCGTGCGAATTTATGGTCGGCGCTCTCGACAAGAGCTCGGAAGTTCTTGAAAACGGCGTCGTTCTCCTCCGCCATTTACGGTACAGAAAACAATGGTAATTTATAAAAAAAAAAAAAAAAAGAAAGGGAAAAAACCCAGAGTTCACAGACCTAACGGCGTGTTAGGGGGATTTGGCGACGGTTACGGTGGACATCGGAAAATGTTTAGAGAAGTTTAGAGAGAGAGAGTGGACTTTTTTGCGCTGAGCTCTGGTTGCTTTCAGAGTAATATTCTTTTTTTTTTTTTGGGTTTTTGAGATTTTATAAATTCAGTTATATATTACAGTTGCGGCGTTGGGTTTGATTGATTCACTTATTTGGCGGGCGTGTCAATTCTTTCTCTGGCGACGAGGAAGGAAACCGAAATATTTTTTTAGAGAAAATTTCACATGCACTTTCTGCCGTTTGTAATTTATCATTTCCACGCTTTGTAAAATTTTTTTTCGTTTATAATATTATGATTTATTTTCGTTATTAAAAGAGTAATTGCATTAAAAATCAAATAAATTTTAATAAAATTATTAAATTATTCTTATTCTTATTTTTTAATGCTGTTTTTTTTTTAACAATGGAAATAAACCATAAAATTATAAATGAAAAAATTATTTGCAAGAAATATAAGTGAAAAGAATCTTACAATATAAGAAGGGTACGTAAGATTTATTCTAATTTTTTATACAAAAAGAAGAAAGAGGGAGTAGAGTTTAATTGAACGTAATTGATTTATATATTTATTTTTAAAATATAATATGCTGTTTAAATTTCAAATCCTAGTATTTTTTAATATCTTGAGATCTATTTAATAATAACAATCACTAAAGAGTTGACGCGTGAAAAAAATGTAATTCTTATATTTAATTTTTTAAGATTGAATCTTTTCATTAATAAATTTTAATATTTTATTAATAAATTATATAATTATTGGTAATAGTCGTAATTATTATTTGGGTAAAAATTATATATTTTTGTTTTGCAAAATGTAATAGGTTAATAAATATATAAGTCCAACTCTTTAATATTATCTCAACAACTTTAATACGTGAGCACAATGTCTTTCCCCTTTGGATTTCTTCAATTTCATAAATTTTATCCCCTTTTGGACATTCAAACCTAATTTTAAGTAAGAAAATTATAATTTTATTTGTCTATATATCTATATAAAAATAAATTAATTTATTTTAATGTGTTGGTTATACAAAATTATTACGTTTAATTATCTAATAAACAATATCAATTTTTATATTCATCAAGTTAGCACACTCTTGACTCTTATGTCATTTATCCTAGAATAATCGACATCTAAACTCTTCACCTTACATATTCATTCATATCTTAAAATAATTTTTTTATTTAGATTTTTTTATCCATGAAGATAATTGGTCGAATTATATTCACTAATGTCCTATTAACATATAATCTTACAGTAATTTAATTTATTTAAAATCATTAAATATTATTTATTTTCGATCAACATAAATTTTTATCAAATTTTACATAAATCTTTCATTAACTATCATTTATTTACTTCTTGTTACAATCCTATGTCTCCTGTATAAGATAAAAAAATTTTAAATATATTATTTTGGACCTTTTCTCTTTAGCTTCCTCTATTATTCTGTGCAACTTTTTTTTTTCTATAACTCTAATCTTTTATATTTTATTAATTTAAGCGTTAAAGCGCGTTGCGCTCCAAATATCAAACCCTAGCGTTATCTAACCATACTTTCCTTACTGTAGATCCAATTATTTTTCAGCTCATCCCCCAGCTTATCGCCCTCAACAAAGATAAAAAGTCATAAACTGAATAACAAAAAAATAATTTCAAAGTTCGGTCTCATTTGACGACGATTTCACATGAATTTAAATTTCATAAACAGTGAATAGAAGAATTATTAAAATTATACTAAATATTTTTCAAAATTGGGATTGCATTGAGATTCGATTTTTTGCAAATCCTTCGGCAATTGTGCAGTGTCTCGATTCCGTTATCAAACATCTAATAATTAAAATTTAGTCATGTACGATTTACACCGTCTCACTTAAAGAGTGCCACGATGCTCTCTCATTTTTCCATTTTTTTTTTTTTAGATTTTTTAAATATTTAATAAAATTTTAAAAAATTTTAAAATCAGATCCACTTTACATCCAAATTTTTTTATCATTTTTTTTTTATATTCAAATTAATTTTTTGTGTGAAACTCACTTGATATTGAAGTTACATCATATATTTAGTTTTTTTATTTTTACCTTTATATATATTTAATAAATATTTTTAAAATTTTAAATTATTTTTTTCTAACTCATTTAACGTTGAAGATATATAGTATGTTAAGCCATTTACTTCATTTTTTATTTTTTTCTATTAATATTTTTTAAAGATTTTAATTTTTTTGGTAGAATCCATTTATACCAAGGGTTAGTTACGTGTTTGCTTTATTTTTTAAATTATTGTTTTATATATTTAATAAATATTTTTAAGATTTTAAAATTTTAATGACTTGATGCCAAGGGTTTACCACATTTCAAGTTTTTTGTTTTCTATTTTTTTCCCTTTTTTTTCAAATTTTCCTATTTCTTTTTCTTTATAAACATTTAATAAATTTTTTATATTTTTATTTTTTTAATGTGAGCCCAATTTGATATTGTTGATTTTTTTTCTAATTTGATAATTTAAAAAAATATTACGAATATATTAACATCACATCTAAATTTGATACTTATTTCCTTTTTTGTCATTTAGTTTTTTTTTTTTCTTTTTTCCTTTTTTAAAATCCATGGTTAAACTTTGCAAAAAAAACCAAACCATTGAAATATATATTATATTAATAAAATTGTTATTAAATATTTTTATTTAATAAATCCACATTTTATTCTCATTTGGCTTCATTTTCTTTTTTTTTTTGTTGTTTGCTATGTTTTTTTAAATGGATAAATTTTATTAGAATACAAATAATAAATATAGAAATGATAAAATAACTCATATCCCGTAAGTTTTTATTTGCCTTGATCCAATTTGTATGAATTTTAAAAATTTGGAAATCAGGTTGAAGTTTTTCTTTTTTTAAAATTTAGATTTTATGGAATGTGAGTTTAAAGTTTTTTATCTTATCTTAAGTGTGTGTCTATATATATATGTATATATATAATTATTCCTAAATTATTTATTTCATTTTTTATTTTTTATATGTATTATATTAATTAAATTATTATTTAATATCTTAATTTAATAAAAATATTATATTTATAAATAATTAAGATTTAATTCATCCATCTATTATATAAATTTCACTCATTTTAATTTTTGTTTCATCATTATTTAAGGTGTTAACATAACACTTTATGTTTCTTTCTTTTTTTTCTTTTTTTCTAACTATTTTTTAAGAAATTCATGTCAATAGAGGTACCATATAGCACCTCAAATTGTTTATTTCTTTCATGTTTTTTAAAATTTTTGTTTTTTTATAATTAAACTAATTTTACAATAAAATAAGTTGATTGATAAGGATGACAAATGAAGCAAAATCCAATAGATTTCTTTTTATCTCAATTGAATATGAGTAGTTTTGTAAACAATTGATATAAAATTAATTCAAGTCGATTTTTTTTATAGAAATCAATGACGAATTAAAAATAGATTTATGATACTTTATTTTAAGTCACCCTATAGTAAATATGAAAATATATATTTAATTATCTGTTTAATTATATATATGCGTTCAATATTTTTTTTTTTTGTTGAAAATTTGGGATTAGGTGGGTCTCACACGAAAATACTTTTTAATTTTTTATAAAATATATTTTGTGAGTATAAGAGACCGATTATATATGCACGTGTCATTTCCATTTAAGGTTTTTTTATACGTTTTGCCTTTTCCACTTTTTTAAATTAACTAAATTAAAAAAAATGGTGAATAGGAATGCAAAACAAAAAAAAATTTACCTATTGTAGCGTGTGGACAACCACCTAGTAAACATTTAAAATTAGCCAAAAATATTATTAATCATTGTCTTTTTGTTTAAATTTTATTATTTTTTGAGATGTTTCTTTTTTAATAATTAATTTTGTACTTTTTTATAATTTTTATGTAGTTTTTGACATTAAAAATCATGGTACATTAATCTTACAAATTAAAAATTTAAATTTAAATATAAAACATAAAAATAATTTATATAAAATCTATGTAAACAATAAATATGGGGCGGAGGTAATATCAAAATTTTATAGTACTAATAATTTAATTTAAGTGAAGGTGGTTCCTTGAATTCTTAGTGAGTGTTTCAATTATACTACAAGTAGGACTAAATTATTTAAATAATAATTTTTTTTATTTTATCACTCTATTTATATAAATTTCTATGCTTTTATTACGCGTAAATAAGTTATTTACCTTTAATTTATATTTAAATAAGCTTTTGGTTTTTAATGTGTATCTAAATAAGTTTTTAATATTTAATTTGTGCCTAAATAAAATTTTAACATAAATAAATCTTTTATTTAAAATAAAAATTTATTTGGATACAAATTAAAAAATAAGGATATTTGGATACAATAAAAATATAAAGGTTATTTTAAAAGGTTGAAATAATTTAGGAATTTTTTAGTATTTTAACCTACTAAATTACTTTCTTCTTTTTTTGGTTCAATTATGCTTAATGGGAATTGTCTTTGGTTAGTTTCCATTTCCAATGGCAATTGGAGGGTAACTCCAAATTAAACAATAAGGACAGAATATTTTGGCAAATTCACTTGGATTTTAATCCAATGGGAAATTGTTGTTGAAGCTTTAAGCCTTTTTTTACATATGATGCTATCATAGCTTATTAAATTTTAAGCAAAAAATAACCTTCTTATGTTGTATGTCATGATTTTCATATCAAAATTTAAATTCAAACAGCTTCAAATTATCATATTAAATTCTAAACAAATCTTATTAGGAATTCTAAAAAATAAGTAATTTTGTATTCACTAGATTAAGAAAATATTATCTAAAAGTGTACTATTTATATATAGAGTATTCTCATTAATTAATTAAATAGAAAATCACATACGATATTGTATCATAATTTTATATATTATTCTAATTATGATATCATAATCTTTAATTTTATGTTTGATTATATAATAAAAAATATTATAAAATATTACATGAACAATAAATATGTAGGAGGAATTAATTTTTGTAAAATTGTTAGCTTTTTATGAATAAGGTATATATAATTCGGTAAAATTGGTCAATTTAGGGCGGTCTATAAAATTCAACCCTTTTGGTTTTAATGGGTGGTGACTAACAGCCAACCATAGAGAATTTAATTATTATTTTTTTAATTTTTCACAACAAACCCCCCCCCCATAAAAAAAAAGACAATTTATCTTATTGTGCTCCTTAAATATATCCATTTTAA